TCTCTCTCATTCTCACTTTCTCTGTCTCACTGTTTTTCTGTTTCTCTCTCTCATTCTTTCTCTCTCCTCTATCCGACTGTTTTCCTTCCTCTCTCACATTCTCACCTTCTGCCCCACTATTTTCCTGCTTCACTCCTTCCATCCTCCCCAAAACTCTCTCTCTCACTCTCTGTTTTTTCCTTCCTCTCCCTGTAACCTATCCGCGTCCGTATTTCCATGGACTCTCGGAAGCTCCGACCTTCAATCGAGCCACGCCGGCAAACGACACACGCGTGTCTCCGCTCGCGGAGAAATACGATGGCATCAGCTGCGCGCAAGTTTCGCGCGGCTGTTCCGCGCGTGTTTGTCCTGCGTGGGTGTGTCACGTTCCGCGAGGACAGTTATTCTTGTTTGACAAGAGGGGAAACAGCGGGGACGGGGCGCGAGCGAGCGATCAATTAAAAGATCCGGCGAGAGGGAGTGTTTGCTCGCGTTCCCGGGGCCAATTAGCGACTCATTATTTTCCTAATGATATATAAATACGTCACGGTCGAACGTGATGTTTAGATGAAGCTTCGCCTATCCGTGGCGTTGTTATCGAGGGTTGGCCGATGTTTGGCAGAGGATTTCGCAGGAATTGCTCGGTTCCCGGCCGTTCGTTCTGCTCTCCGGGGAGAAAGTGGGCAAACGAGGATACCATGAATTTCTTTGATATATTATTATTACGCTATTTCACCCTTCAGTCCAATTCTTCACTTCGTGCAGAGTCAACTCTCACGCCACGCGATTCAGAGTCGTTAACATACATCGATCTACAACTAACAGATAGATCGAAATCACTTCCTAACTTCTCCCACTTTCTAATCAACACTAAAACTACCGAGCGTTTAATACGATTAATATATAATCAATAGATTACAGATAATCAATGAAACTATTTGTTTTCAAGCTCATTTCCAACATTCAATGCTTTTAAGATATCAATAATTGCGAAACGAGAAGATCGAAACCAGCCATTTTGACTGGTACGGTAGTTCTAGTGTTACCCTTTACACTCGAAAGGTGACTCTCAGTCACCACTTGATTTGACACAGTAAAACTATAGAATGTGATATTTAATGTTAAACTTTGTATAATATATTCGAATTAGTCTCAAAGAACATCATCTTCGCCTCGTAAAGAAATGCTAAATATTTCTAGTAAGAACCACCGAGTGCAAAAGGTTAACAAGAAAACACACAAACATCAAGAGAAGTTATTTCCCAATATTCCACCTATCAGTGCCTTACACAAACACTTCATATTACAAGACTTTACAATTATCTTTACCAAATCAAGCAACGAGTCACTCAATTGACTCGCGCAACCCTCGATTCAACCTATCGCAAATGCAACAAGGCTAATCCCGCCATAAAATCCACGAAATCCCCGGAGTTCCGGCACGAAACAAAATGAAACGGCATTGACGGAGAGGGCAGTCGACAACGGGCGGCCGGGGGTCGCGATTCATCGTCGGGAATCATGGAAAGCCGCAAGCTTCGAAAGGCCGAGCCGGTCGCGCCGGGCTCGGCTGGCTTCGTCTTGATAAAGGAGTTAAACCGGCTTAATTACCGCGTTACTCCGGTTTCAACTAATTACACGTTCGCCGCGCGACCGCAGATTCCCGAAGCGCCAGGTAACCGGTCGGCGGGCGGCCGTTGCGGACGAATCCGGAGCGGAGGGCGGGCGCGCTTCTTTATCACGAGCGCTGTCGGTGCTCCTCTGTAACCGTTCAGAATTCCGCGAAACCGTTTACGCCGCTGCTCCGTGCCGCGACTGTTGATTCCGCGGCCGACTGCCTTCGAGGATGGATGGACCGGCCGATGAACAGCGCGCCGTTGCTAACGAGCTGCGCGCCGGAGAGCTCCAAAGTATCTGGCCTTTGATTGCGCCGCTGCTGCGGTTTTTCATATTTTCCTCGTAAGAGTATTCGACGGTAGATGATCCAGTGGTTTCATTCGAATTTTTCATCCTGATTTTATTCCCGATTATCACCTCTTGTTCTATGCGATAGACGATGGAAGTTTTGATTGATAAAGTTTTCTATTGACCTTTTAAAATTTCGCTGTAGAAACTCCAAGTGCGTCTGTTCAGACTTTAATTGATTGGCAATTCAATTTGCATAGCTATATATTATTACCTTTCTAATTGCAAAACATCAGGCATGGGTCGTTTGACACCTGGTAGTTTTAAAGTGAAGAAGTTCATCTTAATGTTACTTGCTTCTCTTGAATAGGAAATGTTAGTCTTGTCAATCGTTAACCTTCGAAGAAGTAGATATGAATAATAATAATAATAATAATAATAATAATAATAATAATAATTCTATTGTGTTCTAATGAATTATTAACGATGTTACCTACATCGAGCAAACTTGTAAGAATCGTAGGATAAAAGGTTAACCTTTGCACTCGAGAACTTTCCACTAGAAATATTCAACGTTTCCCGGTAAGATATAGACGACGTTTGAAATCAACCGATGAGAAAACATACATAAATCAAGAAACAAAGCCATTTTATTCCAATATTTCACATATCGATGCATTATAATATTATTTATGACCTTATAATTTTACTGTATCAAATCAAATGGTGACCAACAGTCGCCTCTCGAGTGCGAAAGGTCAAGTGTTTCAGGTTTGCTCGTGAAATTTATGAATTCGAGGGGAAGGAATCGATCGACCGGTTGATCGTTGCGTTACAGTTTGTTCCGCACGCGGCGGGCGCGACGCGTAGTTGGTTTCGCAGCGCGTACGTACGCGGATACGTCGGTCGGTGGAGGGACGGCGGACACAGCGGCGCGTTTTATCAGCCGTCGAAATTGCTCGACAGAATAATCGAATCGGAGCGCGAATTAATTCACTTCCGGGCGCCGAGATTACGTAGCCAATCGACTCCGATGGTATCGACACTGCCAACCGATTAATTGATAGTTAATAATTCGAGCGGGTCGGTTCGTTTCGGCCGGATGTTACGGGGCTCCCGTGAAATTACGAATGAACCCATCAATCGCGGCCTCGGGAAAAAGAGGGATGTCCATGCATCGATCCTTCTCGCCTGCGAAGGGAAAAAAATCATTTTTCGAGGCTCCGTTGTGACGGATGACCGGCGCAATTGGAAGGAACGGGTGATTTATTAGGAGCGACAGTCGTTTGAGATTAGCTTTGGTTATTTCAGTGTACAGTGAAGTTCTTATTCATTCGCATATCCTCATAATTTCGTGCTCTGCACTCAAATATTTTCACAATTTCATACTCTGCACTCAGATATTTTCACAATTTCACACTCTGCACTCAGATATTTTCACAATTTCACATTCTGCACTTAAACTTTCGCATAATTCCACGCTCTACACTCAGATATCCTCATAATTTCACACTCTACACTCAAATATTCTCACAATTTCACATTCTGTACTCAGATATCCTCATAATTTCACACTCTACACTCAGATATTTTCACAATTTCACACTGTACACTCACATATCCTCACAATTTCACACTCTACACTCAGATATCCTCACAATTTCATACTCTACACTCTAAAATCCTCATAATTCCACACTCTGCACTCAGATATCCTCACAATTTCACATTCTGCACTCAAATATCCTCCCAATTTCGCATTCTGCACTCACATATTCCCACAATTTCATACTTTACACTCAAATATCCTCATAATTTCACATTCTGCACATAGATATTCCCACAGCTTCTCATCCCGCACTCAAATATCCCCCAATTTCACACTGTACGCTCAGATACCCTGACAATTTCGCATTCGGCACGCGACAGAAACGAGCCCCGTCGTTTTTCCATGAAAATCGATTCTCGTTACTCCGTTGCCCCTTCGGCCATTATCATTCTCCCCGTCGCGACGTAATCACCGTGCACCCCCGCGCCAAGGACACGGGCGTGAGCGCCCTCGTTAGCGGATCCTTAACGCGAGAATTTAACTTGTGCGCGGCTGCGGTATAATGTTATAAAATTATAATTAACAAGGCAGCGCGGGCCGCGTTATAATAGTGTTTAAGTTCGCGGGACACGTTCACCGTTGCACCGTTGTTGCGCTCGCCGGCTCGCCGGCTCGTCGGCAATTGCCGCGTTACGTCGTTTTAACGGTTATGAAGCGGCATAAAATTTCGGAGATTCCGAAATTTTTCACCGGCGAGCCGCGCTGAATATTTAGAAACCGGACGGCCAAACGGCCGTTTTCTGAATGAAACTCGAAAGTACGAGTGATGCAAAATGAATGCTTTAAACAGAAATTGTAAAGTATAGAGCCAAACGTATGGTTGTATTTTATTCACGTCACGGGGATATGAAGTTTTTCGATGACAATGGATACTTTGCGTTTCCAGCTTGAATTTATCTGCAGAAAATTGTTATTTTTGAATGAACGTCGTTTTGTATAGCAGACTACTTAGCAACGCATTGGTAACCCTCGATTTTTTATGAAATGATATTCTTTGGGAAAGATGTTGCAATTTTGAAGTGATTTTATTTCGAGTCGATGGCACCGATATCTTGAGACAATTGTAGAACTGTAGGAATGTTTAACCAGTTAACTGTGTTTGACGTCATGGAGAAATTGCAGGATTTTGTGACGAGAATACTCGTCATGGTAAAAAGTAGGCCATTGGCTATTTAAATTGTAATTTCTGTGAAAAGCCAATGGTCGGAAAAGCCAAATTACTTTTTATTTAAAATCCTGCAACTTCTCCATGACGAGTATACTCGTCAAACACAGTTAACTGGTTAAATCAAATTGAGTCATCTCTTCCATTGCAATAATTGAATAAAAACGACTCAGTTATCTTGCACCTAATTTATAGCACTAACTTAGAATGTCTCCTAGTCGATAATTTCGAATTTTCGACATTTTTGTTGCAGGTGTGAGGAGTGTCCCGTGGTGAAGCCGACGTTCCTCTGTGGCAGCGATAATCGCACGTACAGCTCGCCGTGCAGGCTGAATTATCACAATTGCATTCATCATACCTCGGTGCGCATCGCTTGTAAAGGTTTCTGTCCGTGCAAAGGTAAATCCGATCTATAAAACAGTAAAACAGAAATAACTGGAAACGAGCGAGCCCGTAATCATCTCCGCCGTTCGCAAATAAGAAATAATTCACTTGTTAACCGTCCTGTTTCAAACACGCTCCAAACAATGAAACATAAAGAACTCGTAGCATTATCATTCGTATATAATTACAGGGAATCAGTGGAAGTCGTTGGACGGAACGAATAACCCCGATGACGATTATATTTAACAGTAGAAGCACCGGATTAGTTAAATTGACTGGTTTCGGTCTTCTTGTTTCACGGTTATTGATATATTTAAAACAATATTGAAAAGTTCCATGTCAATACTGAAATGAATATCTAAAGAAGCCGAATATAATCTATTGTTACAATCGTGAGTCTGTTTATTTCACGGTTATTGATATCTCGAAAGCATTGAATATTCAAAGCAATCTTGAAAATAACTAGTTTCACTTGAAATCTATAATGAATATTTGAAAAAACCGAAAATAATCTATTGTTACAGTCTTCAGTTTATTTATCTCGCGATTATTAGTATCTTAAAGACATTCAATATTGAAAACAATGTTAAAAATAAATAGTTTCACTTGAAATCTATAATGAATATCTAAAGAAACCAAAAATAATCTATTGCTACAATCTTCAGTTCGATTGTTTCACGATTATCGGTATCGTCAAAACATTCAATATTGAAAACAATATTAAAAATCAATACTTTCACTCGAACACTACAATAACAACCCAAAGAAACCGAGAACAATCAATTACCACAATTTCCTATCGATTACACGCCGCTCCCATGAAACGCTCGGCAGATCCAGCGTTGAAAACCCGCGTCGCGGTGGATCGAAGCCGACGCGATAAAATTCGATCGCGCTATAAATCGCCCCGCGGAAGCGTGAAATCGGGGATCCGCTAATGAGAAAGTTTTCGACAAACTCGATAAATTACCGGCGGCCGTGTCCGCGGCGCGCTTCGGCGGGGCCGCGAGAAAAAAGGAGGAGGAAGATACCGGAAAGAAATATTGATAAGCTTTCGTTCGATTCGTTTCTTCGGGGCACGAAGAACATGGATATAGGCCAGCCAGGCAAACTTGATTTATTATCGGGGAAGCCGGTTTGATTTATCACCGACAGCTTTTGAGACCCGAATTAATGGCTCGCTGCGAGTCTCCTTCGTATCCCGATTCGCGTGAAACCATCGGCGCCGAAACAAACGGCTCCCCTGGAATTCCGTTTCCCTCGGTCCGCGCGTTTTTCGCGTCCTTTCGGCGGATCGATCTTTCTTTCGATGGTGTTGCCAACTTCGTTCCATTCACTGCTGGTCTTTGTGCTCGGATTCGAGGAAAGGTAGCCTCGGTTTCTACGCTCGAGGACCGTTACAAATATTATCGCTGGAATAGTTGGTCGATTTAACGCGTTAAGCGCCGTGTCGGTCACCGGTAACGTGTAATTCTTTGTTTCGCTTTGATTTTTCATTAACCCTTTGCACTCCAGAAGTTTCTCGTTAGAGATACTCAACATTTTTTAACGAAATCTGATAAACCGACTTAACGAGAAATCGCACGTAAATTGAAGAAAGAGGCTGTTTTATTTTAACATTTTACATGTCGATGTACAAAATTTAATATTAAATGTCAAGCTCTATAATTTTGCTGTGTCAGATCAATTGGCGACCGAGGCGCCTACAGAGTGCAAATTTAGTTCTTCCAACTAAATTCCACAGTTGACTGGTTAATGAAATTGATTTAGTGATATACGAAGTGAATTGTAAATCAACTTTTAAAAAAGATTTTCTTAAGTCTTTGAAGGTGAAAGTTGATTTAACTGCTCGGTTTTTCTGTCAATAATATTTCGATGTTAATTTGTATTCGAGAATTAATCGTGAACGAGTATTTTCACTTTCTATGTATAACACAGTTATAAGCAGAAGCAGATAATCGTAATAGATACAGCTACTTAAAGCTTCAGCGGAGACAGGATATACTTAGTATCGGATTCTCCTTTGAAATAAACAGTTCCGTAGAGTTCGCTCGCAGTTCGAAGAGCTCTGCTATCTCGCAAGATAAACAGTAGATGGTGAAGAAATATACCTAATCGGACACAGCGTACGTACAGTTGTTGAACGAGTAGTATAGAAATATATTCAGTCGGGCAGCTGCAGAGCGGCAGAGTACATTGAATTAATCAACACATTAATCAATTCAATTCATTAGCATTGAACGAAGAATACATTAATCATTCGTTATTCGCAAAGTAACAGTCGGATTAACTTGATTCATTGTATTGAATAACTTCCACTCGCTATTGTCTACCACACATTCTAACCAGAGGCGCATTAACGCTAACTGTACCGACACTTTTCCTGCCTTAACCTGTCAAATAACTGCAATTTGAATGAAATTTCATATTTTTCTAAGTACTATCGTAATTAGGAAAATTGCGTAGCTAAGTGTCTTGGTTAAGTCTTGGTTAGTTTAACACGTTGCCACGGTGGTCACCGATCACCGGAGCTTCGAAATTGCCGAAGAACAATCACAATAAAACACTTGATTTTAAGTAAGAATAATTAGTAACACAAGTAGCTAGATCTACCGTGATACTAACTCTTTGCACTCTGTAGCCTCCAATATCGCACCGGTTATAACATCGAATATTTTAACGAATCAAAGAAACTACCCTAGAACTATTCGATTTTCCACACATCCGAATTTTACTGAGAAGGAAAACAAAATATCCAAGGAATATAGCATTTCTCGTTTTCACTGGGGATGCCATAAAAATTAGTCGCAGTTGCCGATAGATTACAAAATCATCTTGAGTGCTAAGGGTTAAGATCCTCGCGGCAGTGAACGTATCAACGAGACCACGATAAACATTACGCGTCACAAGATCAAAGGAAAACAATCGAATGCTCGCGCGATTCGAGGTTTAACGACACGACGGCGCGCAGCTTCGATGATTTTATCTATGGAGGACGAACGCGGCCGGGAGACGGCGGAACCCGGCGCTCCCGAACACCGGCATTATTGTTCTAACAGGCAATTATGAATATTCATGGTGGGTGTGCTTGTCCCACGGTGCGGAGCGAGGCCAGACGCGAACGCGGGCCCATTGTTAAACAGACTACACGTGCCCGCGTATGAATAAACTAACGAATGAATTTCACGGGCTGACTCGGGGAACGTACGGCCGCGGAATTCACGGAAGACGGCGTGTAACGTCTCGATGGAGGATCGGCAAAGAATTGCTCGCGGTGCTCGAATTATCGTTCGACGTTCGCTTCGTTGGATGTTGATGTAATTTATCGAGGAATCAACGCGCGTTTGGTTAGGACGCTGCGGTAGACAATAGCGAGCGGAAGTTGTTCGATGGGATCGATCAATTTCATCTGACTGGAACTTTGTGGATGACGAATAATTAACTCTAAGCGTACTAAATGATTGGGTTGTGTATATAATTTTAATATCAGTTACTGTATCGTCTGATTACTCGGTGTCTCAATTGTTGCTTTTCCTTTCGCTTCTTTTCACTGCAAAGTATTTGTTATCTAGCTAGTTTATTTTTCAGTTATTTGACTGCGGAAGTTGTTCGATGGAATCAATCAACTTCGTCTCATTATTGCTTTGCGAATAATGAATAATTAATACTAAGCGTAGTAAATGACTGGATTTAAAGTTCTAGGTCTTTTTTCGTATATATAATTTTAATATCAGTTACTACATTGATTACTCGGTGTCTCAATTGTTGCTTTTCCTTTCGCTTCTTTTCACTGCAAAATATTTATTATCTAGCTGGTTTGTTTTTATTTCAGTCATTTGCCTGGTTAAGGCAGGAAAAGTGTCGGTACAGTTATTAACGCGCGTTTGGTTAGAATGTTGCGGTAGACAATAGCGAGCGGAAGTTGTTCGATGGAATCGATCAGTTTCATTTCTTTCAAATTGCTTATCTGTTTAAAATACATTACACAACAATATGATATAAGTTTTCATATGCATAGCAATACAAGTTACGCAGCGCGTTAAGTTCCGTCAAGATAACGACGGCTCGGCGACTCATTAACCGCGAGCGAACGAGCCGCGGCGGTAAATTAACGTTCGTCCCGACGATTGATTTTTCAGTGGCGACGATAAAACTCGATCGTCGACGTTTACACGAGCCTCGCGGTGAATATTTTACGCGGCGCGTATCCGCGTTATATTAATCGTCGCGTCGTTTAACCCGTCGGTTCGTCCGGCGCTCGTTAAAAAATAATAAAAGGATAATCACGGGCGGGCCGGCGACGTTCCGGCGCGCGGGGGCCGCGCCGACGATTTTCGAATGTTTATAATGCCGGTTAATGCGCTCGATCGGCCGGCGTTGAGCGAGACCGACGGGGACCGGCGGATTTCCATTTTACACGCGGCAAAAATCAACGCCGCTTTCGTGTTTAACTTGTTCTACGGGGAACGAATCACGTCCGCGTTTATTTTTAGTCCTGTCACGTTGCCCGCCGCTCTGTTCGTTGTCGGGAATAGAAAAGTAATGGAGACCGGGGACGAAATTTTCCGCGGAATTTATACTTCGGCCTCGATCCGATCGAGTAACGAACGGACGCGAATAACCCGCGGTATTCCGTCACGCGACGCAAACGATTCTTCGGAAATGTTCGACCGGTTAACTGTGTTTGACGAGTATACGCGTCATCGTGAGGCTGGGAGTGATACTAATTCCTTCGGCGATGAATTCTTGATTTTCTCACGTAAACATGTGATTCTTTGTTTCTTTTAGATTACTCTGTTGCTGTTAGATTACTTCGAAATGTATCATTCTATACGGAATGATTAACGAACAGAATAAGTGTAGATATCAGCGTAAGTGGCAGTAAGAAGACTGCCAAATTTCTAAATTCATTTCCAGAGCAAGTGGTTAAGATATACTTTATGTGCATTCGTCCTTCGACGAGTACACGCTCCATTTTATTTATTTATCGCGCGCAAAACGAGACATTTTTTAAACCAAGTTCCACAGTTAACTGGTCGACACTTTTATAATGAATTACAATAAAGTGTCTCTGTTGAACGCAATTGGGAAAGGAATCATAGGGCAAGGGTTATCAAGAGTTTCGGTGAATAATCGAAATGCATAATTCGATATTCCATTTTTCCCCATCGGGCGATGACGTACGGTGCGGATATTGAAGCTAGTCGAGATATTTATTCAAATTTCATTCGAACGAACGCGCCCGATTGATTCCGCGCGACCGTTAATTAAAAGTCGCGCTGGATGTTGCAGGGGCGGACCTCCGCGCGCACAACAAGAAGATGCAGCTGCAGCGGCAGAAGTCCCTGGGCAAGATGTCGAGGAACCGCGACATCACGCTCACGCCGCGCGACTTCAACTACGCCAATCACCATTACCAGTACCTGAAGTACACGAAGCGCGCCAAGGTGAGTGCGATCTTATCCGGGAACTGTTTAACTTTGTCGCCGCGATCGTCTTCGGGTTCCCCGGAATTGCGAATTCTCGCGGAGACCGGCTGTTTTCTCGTGGAAACGGTGCCGCATTCGATTTTCTCGCGAGGAAAGTGAATGTGGTACTTAGTGTCCTTAATATTGAAGACTTAATCCTTTCTCTGAGTCGTTTCTGTAAGTTAGTTACTGCTTATTCGTAGGATACAATGAAATTTCGAATTTCGCTAATTAATTTGAAGGTTCAGATATTCGCTTCTTGAAACTCTAACGTTGAATGATATCCAGTTCGGAGGACCCTTTGACCTATAGTAGGTCAGTACAGTGGCTTTCAAAGTGTTACATAGAATATTAACCACTCGGATGTTTCTTACTAGAAATATTTAACATTTCTTTACGAGAAGATGTTCTTTGAGACTAATTCGATGAGAAATCACCAGAGGTGTCAGAATTTTTGAAAATTAATATTGTAGGAGAATTTTATTTGAAATGGTATAATTATTTCATAGCTCAGAATAGGACAATCTATATATCAAACAATGTATGTACTATTTATACGCTTAGATGCTATAATCTCGCACACTTTCTAGAACATTCTTTCAATACCATGCTTTAACTTCATATTTGGAATATTGTAGATCCATAAGAAATTAATATTATTAACATTAAAGTCAATATAGAGGAAATCAAATTAGTCTAGAATATTCCAATGCTTTGAACATTCATTCAAAACTCACACACAGTCGCGTCATTCATCTATTGCATTCAGCACTCATCAATATATCTATTCTCGCACTCAAATACATTCATTTCCAGAGTATTCATACCATAATATCTAAAAATGAATGTACTTCATATCGTAACGTAACTAGAAGTTCAGTAAATTGATGTTTATTTTGCAATGAAGTTATTAATACTTAAAACGTGTTCATATTATTATGTCTATTAAAAGGTAACGAGGCGCGGAATATTGCTAGACGTGGCGCGAAAATTTGTAAAAATTAATGTTCATACCATAATGTCTAGAAATGAGTAAACTTCGTATCGTAACGTAACAGTAGAAATTCAGTGATGTTTATTTTGTAATAAAGTTTAATTACTTAAAACGTGTCTATATTATTGTGTCTATTAAAAGATAAATATATGTGGAAAAGTTTTTCACTGGAAATATTGAACATTTTCCAACGACACATAGACGACATCGTCCAAAACCAACTTAACGATTCACAGATAAATTAAGCAACAAAGCTACTATTTAAATACTTCACACAGCAGTACAAAGTTTAATTCGAAATACCAAACATTCAACATCATAGTTTCCCCGCATCAAACCAAATGGTGACTGAGAGTCACTTGTCCGAGTGCAAAGGGTTAATATCGAAAATGAAAAGATGAAAAGAAACGAGAATCGACCAATCGAGGCGGCACTCCTCGGTCTGACCATCGACTGGTGAAACGGGCCATACCCGGTTGGGATAAAACCGCGACAGGCCATGGGGAAACAGGATACAGGGCAGCGCGAGTCAGCAATTTCGGATTCTGCTGAATCCAGTCCCAGGAAAACGGCTGGAGCCCTTCGATGCCCGTCGTTCCCACGCCCATGATCGGGATTTTCGGGCTCGTTCCGTTGCTGGAGCTTCTGGTTACAGTTGAATGTAAATTTAGCGGCGAGTGGAACCGGGGCTGCTCTTGAGCATCGATGATTTATAAATGTATCGATGGTCTCTCGGAACATGTTTTTCAATACTCAGACGCGTCACGAGTTTAACCAGTTAACTGTGTTTGACGAATATATACGTCGTTGTAAAGCTTGACGTGATACTGATTCTTTCATGAATTCTTTATTTTTTCACGTGAACATGTAATTCTTTGTTTCGCTTTGACCTTTCATTAACCCCTTAACCTATAATAACGAGTTAGACTCGTGGTGAAGATTTTCAATACGATTCAATAAATATATGTATTACTCAGTTCATTCGAAATCAAAGTGAATATTATTCGTCTGTAATCAACTATTATAGTTAACACGTTAAGCGCCATGGTTAAATTAATTAGTTGCAATATCGCTGAGAAATTTAGGAGACATCGAGTAAGGTACATGTTAGGAGTAATTGTTTATTAGGTGACATACGTGACGTAATTCCTATCGTATGCTTGACAATCTTGATTTTCTGTGGATAGAGAAATGATAATTATGAAAATGATCCAAGTGAATTAAAAGAAAATTATTTCGTATGAGAAAGGAAGAAAATTTCGTAAAAGAAAGATTTCATATGAGAAAGAAAGAAAATTTCATAAAAGAAAATTATTTCGTATGAGAAAGAAAGAGAATTTCATAAAAGAAAATTATTTCGTATGAGAAAGAAAGAAAATTTCGTAAAAGAAAATTATTTCGTACGAGAAAGAAAGAAAATTTCGTAAAATAAAGATATTTCGTATTCGATTATTTGAAACTACATTGAAACATAAACACAAGAGACAAATATGTCCACTTTCATAATTACCAGCAGAAACATGAATGTTTAAAGTGACACATGACACGAGTGGACACGGTGTATATTCAATTGCTCGTTTGTCCAATTGAATCGCCCTGATGAACCTGTAGCTTGAATAATAAAGGATGTTTAATCAAGCGAGGTTTCCATTAAAAGATATCATCGATGAAGTAGTAAAAGCACTTGTAAAGTCAGCCAGATTTTTTTAAAGATTCAGACGAGTTTCCCTCTAATATTCAGTGGTGTAACCGAGTATTAAGTCAGACGTCCGACTAAAAACATCCAAAACGCTGTTCGCGAAGAAACTGTTCCACATTCTCAGCGGCCGATGGCTCGGTAATACAAAAGTGTTATTCCTGTACCGACTCGGTGACATTTAAACACCGAGCGAGTGGTATAGGAACGTATTATGTCAGACAACGTCCTAGTCTAACCGTACTAAATCGATCCGCTGCATATCGATACGTGCCTTCTTATTTCACGTATCAATTATTCACCCACGAAACAGCACATTTTATTCAACATCGTTACGTAATAGGTTTATCGATATTATTGCATAATTATGCAATTATCAATGTCGAGACTATTTATTTCGTGAAAACTTGCGTCATTAAAACCAAGGCTTATTCGTCGAATGTAGAAACCCTTTCTATCTTTCAGTTCTTCCGATTCTAAATTCAATATTTACAAATATCCGTCACTCGTTATAACAAAATATAATTAACGACGTATTCGAGTCTAACCTCGTTTCTGTTGCTCGTAGAAATAAATTCAGTACTCAAAAACATTCATTACATCTGCATACAAATATAGAAAGAGAATATTTTAATAAATATTTGTACTACACGCTTCGCAATAATACAAGTAATACAAATCAAATCCTGCTCAGTCTTCGTGCAACTTCACTCGCATTCGGAATATTGTACATTTAGCACGAACATCGACATATCAAGATCGATACTACAGAAAAATCAATTCGGTCTAGAATCTAGAATATAGCAATGCCTTAAAAATTTATTCAAAACGCACGTTCGTTGTTGTACATCCGTTCGCGCGGTGAAGCATTGAAAAATATCTCATAGAATTTTAATAGGCAACAATTATTATACGCGCGAACGGGGAACACGTATCGCGAGCGTGTCCGTGAACAATGCCAGTCATAAACTGCAATCAACGACGGTAAAGCCAAGACCGACGAGGCGTGTCCAGACGCGACGTCGAAAACCCGTCAAGATTTATAAATTGTTGATTCGATCGTCGGCCCGGCGCGGAGGTGCGCCGTGAATATTTCACCGTTGCCCGGTTTTAAACGGCGCCATTGCTATTCGTATTAGGGGTGCTATGAATTATTTAAGTTGGAATCACGGATTCGCGAGATGAACAGCATACTGTCAGGCTAAATTGCAAAATAAATCTGAGCCGACGCGAGGGAGCGCGCGCGCGCCGGCGGGGGGTTGAATCGCTTTCCATTTAACCGTTCGCGGTCTCCGCCGCGAACCGGTCCTCGTTATCGTATTTCATCCCTCGGAATTCTGTAAATTCTCTGCTCCGCGTAAGATTTCATCGCCAGCTGTACACCGAACGCTGGAACGTTATGCTCGCCGACTAACCGTCGAGCACGGGAGAATTTTCTGGGACGTTTCTTACGGGGTTTTAGGTTTAGTGGAACTTCTGATGGGTTTTCCTGGAGTTTCTACGGATCTTTCGATCATTCTTTTCGTTTATTTGGTGAACGATGGGATTATGTTTTTGCACTTTCTTGCGTTGGTTTATTTGGCTGACGATAGAACGTGTGCTTGACCCTTTGCTTTCGGAGACACTTTTCTGAGATATGGAGGAATTCATTGCTCGATAGTTGCAGTTTTAAATTTCAAAATAAAAATTTAGAAGCTCATCACTGAATTTCTTTGAGACCATCGAGTCGCAATTAAACGATTATTCGCAAACATTTCTATATTATATATATTTCTACTTATATATTATTAGACGAAGATTCTTCGAAATATACGAAACCTTCAGCACATTAAGCTAAATAACACAGCAATTGCTTAATTAACAGAAAAAAAGGAAACTACATGCTGATCTCTTGTTTGACTAATTCAATAATTTCTTCGCGACATAGTTCACCAAATACAACTTCCTCTCGCTAGTTTTTCGATATTTTGTGAAACTAGGTCGACGAGAAATCACGCGTACATTGAGGAAAGCTATTTTCTTCGAATATTTCTCAAAACGATGCATTATAGGAAATATAATATTAAACATCAAATTTTATAGTTTTACTGTATCAAATCAAGTGGTGAGAGTCACTTCTCGAGTGCAAAGGGTTAATATTGTGTTTTTTCCATTTTCTGTACTATGCTCTATGAAATCCTGCGTCATTTGACGTGTTAATCTCTCGCATACCCTACGATAACTCGGTACGGTTCATCTTCGGTATATCCTCTCGCATTCGAATTCCACAGCAACAGTCATCAAGGACGA